GATGATCTTTAAGGTCCCTTCCAACCTTAAGCATTCTGTGATCCTATTCTTTCCCTTTAGGAAGGAAATCAGGAACTAGGCTGTAATTCAATATACCTGGGGGTCTTAATTAAGGACTTCGAAAAATAAGACACACTAACTACTTGAGAAATCACTTCTACTTAATAAATCCATTGGCTGAAACACTGGGAATGTTTCAATAAGTGTTTCTCTTCTGGAACTTGGTTTCACCTAAGAACTCTGTTTTTAAACTTTCTTCTTCATCTTACTTATAATTTCCTATCAAAATTTATACAATGCAAACCCCACTTCAAAAGCTGTTTAGGCAACATGTGTCCTTCACACATCCTTTAAGGGAGATCAGAATGGAAAAATTAAGAACCTGAATAAACGTATGGCAGATCAAGGACCTGAGTGGGACGAGGGGTGATGGCTTTAAACTAGAAGAGGGGAGATTCAGACTGGATAGGAGGAGAACATTTTACACTGAGAGTGGAGAAACACTGGTCCAGGTTGCCCAGAGAGGTGGGAGATGCCCCATCCCTGGAAACATCCCAGGGCAGATTGGATGGGGCTCTGAGTGACCTGATCCAGTTGAAGATGTCCCTGCTCACTGCAGGGCAGTAGGACTGGGTGACTCTTAAAGGTCTCTTCTAACCCAAACCATTCTATGTGCCAAGGATTTCCCATTCTCCTCCTCATCTTGAGAAGGACCTCTCTCTCCAGCCCACCAGGTACCCAAAACAACAAGGATGTGAGAAGAAAATCCAATTAAAACTGACTATTTCAACCAAAATCAATCTGTTAACTACAAATCATTCACATTTAGCACTAAAAAAACCATCATGAGTATAGAATTCAACCCGCAATCATCCTGATCACCATCCTTGTTCTCATTCCACACTTATCCCACCTGAGTTTTATTCCACAAGGTTAGAAGTTAAAGGTTTCTGAATGATCTTTAGAGACAAACATTTCAGTAACACACATGCAATACCAGATTTGGGGTAAAAAACCTGAACTCTAAAGCAAACAGAGACCACAGCCAAGGGCTAACAACCTCCACCTCAACTTTATTACACTTCAGGGTTTTTATTGCTCTTTCCTGCCTACTATAAAGCTTGGCATTGATTTTATTTTTTTCCCAGTGTTCTCCATTACTGTCAAAAGATGAGATTAAGAAAAAAACTATACTGCAGAAATTCCATATTGGAGCCCAAATTAGATCTCAAAACAAAATTTAGGGATGGCAGTTGTACACTCTGTCCCAGGAAGTGATGGTGGGAATGGTTTGCTGACATCCTATTTCAAATTAGGGGCTCTGAGCAAACTCTTCCATCCAGCTGCCAGTCAGGACTGAGACACTTGTCAAGCCCCAAACCTTTAATGAGATCCCAGGACCATGGAAGGGGTTTGCACATGCAACAGAAGTCAACATCCCCTGCAGACCTACCCTGGCATATGCTTTAGTGATGATTTTCAAAGCAATTTGAGAAAGAAATATGTAGAATCATATCATAGAATCATATCATAGAATGGTTTGGGTTGGAAGGGACCTTCAAGATCATCTAGTTCCAACCCCCCTGCATGGGCAGGGACACCTCCCAGCAGCCCAGGCTGCTCCAAGCCCCATCCCACCTGCCCTTCAACACTGC